GGGGTTACCAACCTAGAAGTAACTTAATGAAGGATGAGAATGGTGCTCTGCTTGCAGATTCCTACAACATTTTGAACAGGTGGAAGAACTACTTCTCTCAGCTATTGAATGTACATGGGGTCAGTTATGTTAGGCAGACAGAAATGCATACTACAGCTGAGCCGTTAATACCTGATCCTACCCCTTTTCAGGTTGAAAGTGCTAATGCAATATTGAAAAGGTATAAATCGCCAGGTAGTGATCAAATTCTGGCAGAACTTATTCAAGCAGGAGGCAAAATATTATGTTCTAAGATCCATAAGCTAATTAATTCTATTTGGCATGAGGAAAAATTGCCTGATCAGGAGAAGGAGTCTATTATTGTACCAGTTCACAAGAAGGGTGATAAAACTGACTGTAGTAATTATCGCGGGATATCACTGCTATCAACTTCATACAAAAATTTTATCCAATATTATTCTCTCAGCTGTCGAGACCCAGACACAAAGCAGTACAGATGTGTCGTGTGCACCGCTCTATGAACTGTGTCTAAAAGGCAAAGAGAGAGAAAAAAAAAAGTGAAGCATTCCCTGCAATACTCGTCTAAACTGTGTTAAAACTGCCGAGTTTAACAGTGCTGTTACTGATTTTTGTCCTTCACAGTGGTTATCGGTTGGTGTTAACTCAGTTCTTTACATCATGTGAACCTAGGCAGTGTCGCCGACATTTCAAAGTGCACAGTACTATATTAAAAATATTCCAACCAACTCAGCTTCCGCAAAACCAGTGCTTCAGTGTCAATCAGCAACAACACCCAATACAACAACAACAACTTATGCAGCAACAGCTAATGATGCAGCAGCAGCTGCTGACGCAGCAACAGCAAATGATGCCATACCCACAAGCACCATTACAACCACGGGTAATGTTACAGCAACCAACAATGCCCCAACAGGTCATGCAACAATCCCAACTGTACCAGTACAAACAAATCAATCACAGTATACCCCACAACAATCGTCCAACGTGCAACCATCATCCATCACGTCCCAGCGCACTAACCAACATGGAGACAAAAACTCGANCAGTATACCCCACAACAATCGTCCAACGTGCAACCATCATCCATCACGTCCCAGCGCACTAACCAACAT